CCTGTCCCCAGTGGGTGGAGCTGGGTGTGCCTGTGGACAGAGGACTGGGTGCCTGGAACTGTAGCTGACTCATCCTCTCCCAGGGACCAGCCCAGGCCTGGCAGCAAAGAGGCAGAACCAGCAGGGTGTCCTCAGCCACAGTGCTTGGGCCCAGGCTGAGCCTGGCAGGGTCATCTGAGCCTTGTCTTCTCTCCATGGCTCAGAAAGGCCCTATCATCTGACTCTGTATGGCTTCCCATGGTTCAGGCCAGCTGGAAGCCAGTAGAAACTGGCTCTGAAGCAGCTCTGCTTCTTGGGTCCTAGTCCCCAGACAGCCCACCCTAGGCCCTCCTGTGCTCCACTGAGCTCTGTGGCTGTTTCTCACGGGTTGTGTCCCTACTAGATGTCCCCATAATTTCACCCCTGCTCCCATCCTGCCCCCATCCCCAGCCTGCAAGGGGAAGGGCGCTTGCCCTAATTCACATGCGGGCACCTTAGCTGCTACTGCCTACACGTCCAAAGTTCTTGGCCATTGACCCCAAGTTCTAATACCAAAGACTGGCAGGTATCCAGGGAATGAAGAAAAATAAAGGAGGAGGCTTGAGTGCTCCCAGGTGTGGAGGAGGAGATTTATTGTAGATATGAGGGAGAGCACAGCAGGAGGCAGGTCTCCAGGAGTCCAGAGTGGACATGACTGGGCCTTGTGAGGAGAGTGGGGAAGGGAAAGCTAGGAGACCAATCAGCCAGAAGGGTAAACGGTAAAAAAGGTAAAAGGAGCAGCTCAGCCAAAATGGCTGGATTATATAGGGGGAAGGCAGGTAGAGGACAGGGATGCCAGCCAGGTAGGGACCAAGGGAGGCTGGGAGAGCCCAGCAGCCAGGTCAGCTTTGATATGGTAAATAGGCTCCTCAGCCATTTGTCTGGGGTTTGAGACCTAACATCCACCTTGCTTACTTGGCTCCCAGAGCAAGACCAGACTTCTAGGCAGACTGCCAGGACCTGTCTGGGACCACAGGTGGTTCTTGTGAGTTCAGCATACCCTCAGCCTATCAGAAGCTGTCCAGGTCCTGGGTCTGCCTGCCACCTGGGGGCAGCGGTGGGACAGCTCCCCCAACCCTCCTGTCTGCCCCCTCTCCCTTCCTCATGGTATGGACACTGATCTTGGAGCCAAGACCTAGGCGGGACTGTAAATAGCAGAAAGAGCACTCAGTCCCTGGGAAGCTCACAGGGGATAGAGCAGCCTGGTGGGTGCACAGCCATGTCAGCTGGCACTAAGGGCCAGGGGGAAACGGGAAAGAGCCAGAGACCTTGTGGAGGGGAACAGGGCAGCCATGGAGACATTTGGAAGATGTAGGTTGTGGGCAGGGCAAAGAGCTGATGAGCACATGTCTGGTGTATTGGGGAAACAGTGAAGAAGCCTGTGTGCCTGGGGCTCAGGACATAGAGGAACTGTGGAGACCACAACTGAGTGGGGCCAGGGAGGTGTGAGCCTGGTGGTTCAGGATGTATATGCCACACGGCTCCTAGGCCTTGACTTTAGGCTGTGGGCTTTCTCCCCTGCACCCCGTCCTCTGCCCTAGAGGATCAGAGTGCATGGTTTGGGGGTTAATGACGCTGGCAGCCTGCAAGGGAGGAAGTGCCGAGCCAAGTGGCCTGTAATTTGCAGCTCTCGGGGGTTGATTATAGGCTGTGTTTACCTCCCTCACCCCAGTCCACAGGGCAGAACTTGCTGCCAGACTGGGAGCCAAGGAAACTCAAGAGGCACTTGGGGAGCCCCCAGAGTGGTGATGGGCAAGAGAGGAGTTCTTGGGGCACTTTAGGGTCCCCTGTCACTCCTCCTCATCATCACCACACCAGTACTTTACTGTCTCTGTCTTGTTTTCGTGTTGTATTGTCTTGTTTCTGTGTCCCCTCCTTCCGGGCCTTATCCTGCCATTGCCTGGACCCCAGACCATCGTGCGGGGCAGCAAAGGTGTCAAGGATGGGGCCCTCACGCTGCTGCTGGACGAGTTTGAGAACATGTCGGTCACGCGCTCCAACTCCCTGCGCAGAGACAGCCCTCCACCACCTGCCCGTGCCCACCAGGAGAACGGAATGCTGGAGGAGCGGGCAGCCCTGGCCAGAACGCCCCCTGACAAGACTGGAGGCAAAGGCCGGGCCACAGGCCACAGCGAGGCAGGCGGTGGTGACAGACGGCGGGTGGGGCCCGAGAAGAGGCCCAAGGCTTCCAGGGAGGGCCCTGGAGGGCCCCAGGAGGCCTCCCGAGATAAGCGCCCCCTCTCTGGGCCTGATGTTAGCACTCCCCAGCCTGCCAATCTGGCCAGTGGGGCAAAACTAGCAGCTGGCAGACCCTTTAACACATACCCACGGGCTGACTCGGACCACCCACCCCGAGGTGCCCAGGTAACCCATCCCCCACTTCAGCACCTCAGTGTCCCCTTCCCTTGCTTCCCTTTCCCCAGCCACACCCCATCTCACCCTGACTTCCCTTGTATGTCATCCGGCTGGGGAGAGTCAAAGCACCCTCCACGCTCATGATGCCTTTCTTCTGTTGCAGGGGGAGCCACACAGTGTGGCCCCTAATGGGCCATCAGCCACGGGCCTGGCTGCCCCTCAGTCTTCATCTTCCTCCCGGCCTCCCACCCGAGCCCATGGTGCTCCCAGCCCAGGAGTGCTGGGCCCCCACGCCTCTGAGCCCCAGCTGGCCCCCCCAGCACGTGCTCTTGTGGCACCCCCTGTCCCTGGGCCCCCTGGGCCTCGCTCACCACAGCGGGAGCCCCAGAGAGTGTCCCACGAGCAGTTCCGGGCTGCTCTGCAGCTGGTAGTAGACCCAGGGGACCCCCGTTGCAATCTAGATAACTTCATCAAGATTGGCGAGGGCTCTACTGGTATCGTGTGCATAGCCACTGTGCGCAGCTCAGGCAAACTGGTGGCCGTCAAGAAGATGGACCTGCGCAAACAGCAAAGACGGGAGCTGCTCTTCAACGAGGTAGGTACAGGCCAGGAAGCTCAGCACGGTCCTCTCCTCACAGCTGTCCCCAGCCTAAGGCTCCTGCCTGGCCTGTCCTACCAAGCGCCCATGACCCAGGCTGACATTTTCCAACTAGTTCTGGGCCTGTGTGCTCCCCTCCAGACCTCTTCTTCTCTCAGGGTCCCTGTCTCTGGGAAACTGTCCTGGCCTACTCTGGAGCACAGCCAGTGCCCATTCCCCCAGTCCCACTGCTGTGTGTCCTCTGTGGCCCTGGGGCTCTGCTCCAGCCTCTCTCAGGCCCCCGGACTCTGTACGTATTCAAGGGAAGGGCCTTTGGCACTGAAGTCTTTCCGTGTCTCTCAGTGTCTGTCTCCACAGCCTAAGGACTTGTGTGGCACTGAAGTCTTTACGTGTCTCTCAGTGTCTGTCTCCACAGCCTAAGGCAGCGTCCAGGGGTCCAGCCTGCCACTGTTGTTCTTTCACTCTGTGGCTCTTTTACTCCTTGTTATTTTGGGGGGGCCCCCTACCAGCTCCCAAATAAAATCCACTTATCACTTAAGAATGCCCGGCCTTAGCTTGGCTTGTTTCTAGCCAGCTTTTCTTAAATTATCCTATCTACCTTTTGCCTCTGGGCTTTTTCCTTTTCTTACTTCTGTATATCTTACTCTTAACTCTACAGCTGGGTGGACCCAAGCATCCTCCTTTCCTTGTTCTTTCTTTCCTTCTTACTACTATATTCAGTGTTCTGCCTGCAGGCCAGAAGAGGGCACCAGATCTCATTACAGATGAGTGAACCACTATGTGGTTGCTGGGAATTGAACTCATGACCTCTACAAGAGCAACCAGTGCTCCTAACCTCTCAGCCATCTCTCCAGCCCTCTTGTTCTCTTGCTCCTTCCTCCTCTCAGACTTCTCCCCCCATTTATTCTCTCTGCCTGCCAGCCCCACCTACCCTTTCTCCTGCCAAGCTACTGACTGTTCAGCTCTTTAGTAGACAAATGGGTGTTTTAGCACAGCTTCCCAGAGTTAAACAAATGTTCCACAGCATAAACAAATGTCACGCATCT